GTCCTACTCACGGCTACAGAGCTGAAACATTTCATTGCCATGGGCTCTGCTGCAGTCACATGGAGGCACTTACTAAGGCTACTGCCTGCCCTTAGATTTGACGTAAGGTGTTGAGGACTTGGAGCTACATTTCCACATTTCCGGAGGGATCTACCACTGGAGGTGAGTGGCGTAGCACGGTGGCCCGCTGGCGGGGTAAAGAGCTGTCCCCTGCCTTGGCAGCGGTAAGGGTGCTGCAGGCTGTGAACGGCACAGATGGCCCGCGTTCAGTACAGAAAGCCTGTGCTGGGGCTGTCAGCAGCCAGAGACACCTACACCGGCTCCAATGCAGTAGAGTGCTCAAAGCATTTCCTACCATGTGCTGCTGCTCTGGAGGACCCCAGCAGCTGCAGTACAGCAGCACTGAAGCTGGCTGGCTGGGTTGCAAAGGCTACCAGAACTGGGTACCAGGCACGGTCCCACGGCACACAGCTGGCGAATGCTTTGGCAGAAGGAAGGCCGCTTGTTAACGTGGGGAAAAAAGCAAACACAAACCACGTTGCCTACTGGTCTGCCCCCTCCCTAACCTGTGATTGCACAAGTTGTACCTCTTGCATATCAGTGAGGGCAGCCACCAACCCATACTGTGATGGCTTTTTTGGGGTGTTGTGGTTTGGTTTTTTTTTTTAATTCAAGTCTTACACTTGCTATTAAGTTTACACTTTATACTTGATGGAATGTATGGCTTTGTTCAGGAAACTGCACTACAATGTTGCAGTACTTTCAGCAGTTTTATTCTCTGCCTGGCACAATATATTGTGGTACGTTTCTTTCTAATTGTAAAAGAACCCACCCCAACTCTACCCTCTCTTGCCCTCTGTCCTAAAAGGAGTGAACTGTGGCTTGAGTAACACTTAAGCTTAGAATACCTGTACTTAAGGGCTTGATTTTTATCGTACTTAACCTAACCTTTTAAAGCAGCATCAAATAAATAAAAAAGCACAGTAATTAATATTAAAGGAGAGGCATGAGCAGATTACTCTTTCAAGTTAGACAGATGTCTCAGCAGTTCCGTTCCACTTCAGGTGTTTGCTGGCAGTGCATTTGAATGAACTGTGATAGTTTTGTTCAACATTCACCTTCTGTACAGGCAGAAAAAACCCACAAACAAACCAACATTTCTGCTTGGAAAGCTGTAAAATATAATCTGTTTGCGTGGGTCTGATCCTGTGAACTTCTTCACTGTATGTGTTTATATGATGAGGAAACGAAAATCAGTCCTATTCTGTATTTGTACTACTGCTTGTTTGCTACAATAGCTTTAATGATTTCTAGAGATTAAATATGTGTTGGAGCAGGCCCTGTAGCTTTAACCTACAGCCTGAAATAGAATTATTGCCTTTTATTCAAGCCTCCTAAACAGCATCACTCTGTTAGTAAACCATTTAAAGTCATTCTGGGAATTTTTAACCCATCAAGTGGATCTCATGAAGTGATGTGAAGTATAATTAAGTGATTGTGGCTCTTTTGGTAGGTTTGGGTCAGCACACAAAACATTGGCACACCTTCCATATCTGCAATTCCCTGTTACTGTTACATGGACAAAAAAAGAACCACCTCTGATTAAAGCTGTATTATGGCAACCGAACAATCTAATTGCATTCTCTGCAATGAAAGCAAACTTCTCTTTAACTTATTTTCACATGTTTACAGGCAAACTACTATGGCAAACAGCATATTTTCTAACACTAGCTTACAGAGCATTATTTTGCAGTCATCTAGTTTAAAGTCAAATCTTAACTAATGTGTAAAGTAATTCCTGTTGTACAGAAGTTAACCTGTTGTTTAAAATGAATGGTTAAAGTGCAAATGACAAATACATGTTGGTGTTTGTATGGGTTTATCTAGAATAAAATGCTTTTGGAGGTTATTTTGATTAGTTTGAGTACTTTAAAATGGTTAAAGGCAAGGAAGCACACTGTGTAGAACAGTGCCTGGCAGCAGCTGACAAGCACTGATGCAGCCCCAGCCCTGCGAGGCTCCGAGGCAGAGCCACGTGGGCAAAGCTGCCTGTTACAAACCACTTCCGTGACTCTGAAGTTGGGAAATACAAAAAAAGAAAGGTACGATGCAGTGTCAGGTGATGCTGTGGGCAGAGATGTTCTGGCCTGAAACCCAGCAGCTGGTAAGCAGCGACCTCCTGAAAGGGGCCAGGGTGGTAGGGTGGGGGATTCCCAGCAGCCTTCCCAGCCCTGGGAAGCAGCTGCAGGCCTGAGGCAGGCTGAAGCTGCAGTGCCCGCTACACCTCCCCGCAGCCTTCAGGAGCCACATTACAACTTCATAGAATCAAAGAATCATTAAGGTTGGAAAAAGACCTACCCTTTCCCCTCTTACACCTGCACAAAAAGATGGTTCTCCCCCTGTTAATTAAGGAGATACCCCTCTCCACTTCCTATGCTACCTGAAGAAAGTTAGGAGGGAGACCTGAGAACTTTTGTCTATAAAAGGTGAATAAACAAAGAGAAGATGCGCTTGCACTCTGCCCCCTGCCAAGACGTTGACACTCACCCAAGGATCCAAAGAGTTGTGAAAGCTTTCTCTCTCTCTTCTCTCCTTTTCCTTTCTCTTTGAGCATCTCTCTCTCTGGCACATATGGTAACACCTTATAAGTTTTACGCCAGCTCCTTTTGGGGCTTGTTTAGCAAGTTTCTGTGGCAGTCTTGTTTTAGTACTGATAAGTGACTGCAAGTTTTATAAGCGGTTGGGGTTTTTTAGTATGGTTGGCAGTTGTGCTGTTGTTATCACATTGTTGTAAGATTTGGGGTTGTTGGTGGGTGGTAGTGTTGTCACAAGTTGTCTTTACCAAGTTGGGGTTTTTTTGTAATTCTTTTACATTTCACATTTTACATCCTACATTTTCCTTTTTCCTTAAAAATTATACACATTAAAGTATTTGATTGTTTGGTGTCATTTCACCTTAATTTGCCCCAAGGGGATCCACAGAACCTCTGCGAACCCCACTCGTCCCACCCAGAGCGGGTTTATAAGCTGGGTCACACCAAACTCAAACCTTGATACATGTTTTTTAAAGTTTTGTGTGATGAGGTTATTTCATATGTTTTGACTTCCAAATAATTTCATGTCATTAATGTAAAAACATTTTAAAATGTAGCTAATCTTTTGAAGATTTGTTTTGAACCATTACATTTGATGACTTATGACACTCTCTCAAAAACAAATACAAAACTATGCAGAATATATTTTATGCTATTCAGGCACATACAAACATGTTTTTGGCAAAATAATAAAAGCACTTACAAAGGATAAGCTATTGAAAACTAACAGCACACAGAGTTTGCCAACTTTATTTGGAGTCCTCACTTTCTGCATTGCCTTCTCCAGCAATCTTGTCTCTAGCCAGGTCCCCATATGTGCCCACTGTTACTCGCTCTCTAGCTGGTCCCAGATCTTGCAGCTGTTTTCTCTGTGTGGCTTCTAGTTCTTCCATCCGCTTGCGAAGCAAGGTAAGCTCTCTTTCCTCCTGATGCTGTTGCTCCTTGAAATAAAAATAAAATAAAGTAAAATAAAAAAGGTGGCTCTATTACATTTTGCACACCTACAAGGGACCAACATGAGTAATTTCATTTTCTTTAATTAATGATTTTAAAATAAAAATTGTCAAGCCAAAAATATCCTTATTCATTGAATTTTAATCCTCAATGTTTTGTGGATATTGTTCTGACATTCATGATTAACAGCATCAGCAAGAAATGAGCATGCAGGCTTCCTCCTCTCGGATGAAGAGACATGCAAACCTGAGGTCACAGTTGCCAAGAACTTCTAAAGTCAGCCTGGTCAACCTCAGACAGAGAGATTTTCACCCTCAGCATGCTCACCAGAGTAACCAACACTCTTTTAACCACACAAGAAATCAAGACCAGCAATACTTCTTTTTAATAATGAAACCATGGTGTGAAAACACCACTGTGGTATTTCTTGCCCAGAAGGGGCGATTTAAAGCCTCTCGGAAGGACAAAGTAGGGAGAACTGGGTTAAAGCCACCTGTTTGTTACACTCTGTAATATATCATCTGTCTTTCAAGAACTCCTTCCTATTGTGAGGAAGGGAACACCACTAGAAGCATTCCTCAAAGTTTTCTTCCTCTGTTCAAACATCAAATACCCCTTCGTCAAGACTAAGGTCTGTAATAAATGACAGTTCCAGTACCCTCTTTTTTTATATTATTTTCACAACCTGTAATACATCACTACCTGAAGAAGGGGGAAGAATGTTTCAGGCCCATGAGGCAGGGCAGATGATGACCTTCTACTGAGTGGATTGAGTGATGGTATGTCAGGATTCAGAATTAAACTCCGGAATTCATTGTGTCTACGCTGCAAGTCCTTTAGTCTCTTCTTGAGGCATACATATTCTTCATAGGAAACATTCTGCCTAGGAAATACGAGATTTCTTATTGCTCAAAATCTTTATTATCCCGACACAGAAGCACACCTCTCCATGAGTACTCTACTGTTATTATGCCTACAAAAGAAAACTATATACCAGAAAAACTGGAAGGCATAAGATCTGGCTATATTCTTCTAAATGTCTATCTCAAAGTCCCTCTACCCACTAATCAATCTGCTGTATTACAGATTAGAATTTACATGGAATAAATTAGGCTTTCAACAGCATTAACAGTAGTTAGCCAGAGGAGCCACATGAAATTGAGTCAAGCCCTCCACAGTCGCTCAATAAAGAGGAAAAAACATGAGTTTGTCTTTCAGAGAGGATGGTCTGTTTCTCCTGCAATTCTAAAGTCTTTTTCTTTCCTGTCTTCCATTTAGTTTTACATACTGTACTTTCAACTCTAACACTGCTTTACTGCCACCCCCCCTTTTTTACAGACTTCCTTCTTTTGAAGGGATTCCTGCAACTCTATCTATCAGATCTTTTTCCCTCATTTCTCCCCAGAAAGCCAGCCCTGCAGCTCTCAGCTGCCCATCCAACGGACTCCATTCAAAGAATGCTAGCACTGAAAATGCCACTGGACTGGACTCCAGTTACTAAATTGTCATGGATCTTCAAAATGACTTCATATTACTAAGTCAGATCTTAGGCATACATCATTTTTCAAGCTAAGAAAAAGCAAAGTTTATTACCTATTTAGCACCTGATTTTGTGTTTCTAGCTCTTCTATCTTGGCTTCCAAAAGTTCTAGTTTCTCTTGCATCCTCCTTTTTTTATTATCAGTGAGAGCCTTTCTCTGTCAAACAGACATTTCAAACAGAGCTAAGTAATAATGCCTTGATAGATTAGATCCTGTAAAAATTAAATTACACTGCATATGGTTTCAAAGCTGTGACAGTTTTTAGGATTTTTCCTTCCTTAAGAAGAAGTGCTGTGTTGTTTGAAGGTTCTGAATCCCCATGATGGAAAACGACACACAGCTGTGACTGAAAGATGCGCAGCTGTAATTCATTCATTGGTCAGTGACTAACTGTACTAACAAACACTAACTGTATTTAAGAATTACAAAATTCATTCTTTAAATGACCATGTATAAATAAGCATAAACATGATCAAAAAAAGAAGTATCTTTCCTTTCCCTCCTATTGAGCTCAAATTTTAACAACCTTAAAAGCTAGCAGTAGGTTTCATATCCTTTATTATGTCCAATGTATAAAACTACCAATTAATCTTGAACCTTTATAAACAATTAATCAGCTTTTCCTTTCAAGTTTTTTCATAAAAAGTAAGCTTAGAAGTTCTACAATTTTCATATTCCATCAAGGAAAAGTAGAACATCATTCTTCTAGTATCTGAAACAACATCCTTACTAATCAAGGATTCCACCTCTTAAATAACCACATACACACATGCAAAAAAAAGTCTCACACAGTCTTTGATGGCATTACAACAAAGGTGTTGGCTGTAATATTCTTTTGCATGTCACTTCAATCTATTTCTGTGCTAATCTTGGAAGAACTCGACACACTTTCTTATTATATATAGAAGATTGCAAGTAAGCTCTTACTATTAAAACAGTTCTAGGTGGTCAAAGTAAAGCAGAACTTTTCATAAGCTGTATCATTCATAAAGGAAGAGTCAACATGCCTTTTTCTGAGCAACACCAGCTCGATGCAACTTATCCTTCACTTGGTTGTATTTCTCTTCTTTCTCTGTGATGCACTGAGTTAGCATATGCTTCTCCTCCAGCCATTCTATACGTTTCTTTTCTAAAGTCCTTTGAAAGAATCAGGTAAAAAGATTAAGAGGTTATATAGACAAAGCAGTGCTTTGGATTAATGTCTTAAGGCTCTTAAAATAGATGCATCTTTTCACAACTCCTACCTTTATATACTGGAAGTATCTGATTTAAATTTTATTGTGCTCACAGGCTAACTGTGACTAACAACATTCGGACCAGTGCATTAACATCATCCTAGGCTTTGTTCAACTATGAGACAAATTCTGAAAACTGATTCAAATAAGCTAGTTAACTGTTGTCTGCTTGTTGGTTTGGCATGTTACCAAACCGTCCACAGAAATTTCTAAATTCAGATCAAATAATCACACTGGAACACAACAGTAGACACATATGCCAAACATCAGTTGCCAGAAGAGCTGACAAATACCTTCTCTGTTTTGGAAGTAAAATGCAAGAGAAGAGATTGCTGCCCTGTGAGGTCTATTATACCTTTGTAACAGAGAAGTACAGACCTGACTAGTACGTGCTCCCAACCAGAACAAACACCAGCACAACAGGAAGCACTCACCGATATGGTTCCTAGACAACATTCCAGCTGAACACACACCTTCAACAACATACATTATCTGTTTAGGCCTTTGTATGGTTAAAACATACTGAAATTAGGCTGTGTTCTCTAGCAGCAGATAGGAAAGGAGACAGTTTCCCCCTGCTGCCTTGCTTGTTTGGGCTATTTGCATTGGGGGTCAAAGTAGACAAGAACTAGCTGCATATTTAACTACATAACTATAAAAAAATCAGATGGTGAGATTTTGTGCAGCAGTTTTTAAGAAGTGCAGTCCAAGGCCTGGTATCAGTGCACCCATACCACGGCAGTCCTGGGCTGATGCAGTTTCCCTATAGGGACTCTGAATGAACCTTCATAAATTTCTCACCAAACAGCCTTTCCCTTCCCCACAGTACAAGTATTAGGGATCCACTCTTGTATCAGCACCAGGATCCTGGCCCACCTCGTAGCTGCCACAGTTCTTTTAGTAGACCCAGTATGGTTTATACCTTGCTGTTGACTGTAAATAACTATGACTACCCAGGCACCAAAGAGCTTTCTCAAAAAGCACTGCTTAACAGCAAAAGAATTACAGTTGAGACAGTGGTTAAAAATGCATTGGGATATTTTCTTAAGTGCTACTAATGCTGTTCCTGAAAAGTTTAACAAGTGCCTGTTTGAGCTCATCTCTGATCTGTATCAATCTCATAGTTTGCCTTCAGTGCTTTTTCTCATTTCACATTTTCATTTCCAAGACTAAGATTGACACAGCCAGGCAGGCAGCTGCTTTGCCTACTTATGGCTCAACTGGCATTATTTTATTTATTTGAAACTCTTTATCTTAGGCTTTCTTATCTTTTGGTCCTTATTTCACTTCGTTCTTAAGCTAAGTTGCTTTGGTGCAACTTAACTCTTGGAGTTCAAGCTCGTAAGAATTACTGAACTGAGGAAGGAAGTCCTATCACCCACAGAGTCAGAAAAAGAATGGAAACACGTCCCAGGGCTGACAGGGTAACAGTAGGACAGACCTGGAGGACTTACATGGAGGCTGCAAAGCTGCTTAATTCCTGAAGTATCAGCCTTGGTGCATCTCCCCTTATGTACATACTTACCAACAATCTCAGAGGACTGCCAAGTTCCTTCCACTGCCTTCCCTGGCAAACCTACTCCCAACTGGTCTATGGTCCATGAATATGTAAATGACACTGACAGTCTCACTCAAATAACAGTGACAATCTCACTCAAAATATGAATAGACCTTCCTAAAGTAAACATCCAAAGTATTTAACATGCTACTGACAACAGCGTGTACTCTGCAGTCCCAATGCAATAATTTCTTCAAATGTTAAACTGAAAAGCAAAATTTAAAATAATGACAACAAAGCAATTGCAGTACCAATTTATAGTAAAAGAGAAGTTCAAACAAAAAATGCCACATTAAATCTTCTGGAAGGTTTCTATTTAATGTGGGGTGCTGACTTTTTGAAAAACCCAACACACGATAATCCAGTACAAGTTAGACATGTATTTAGTTATTAGGCTAGGAAACATTAAATAGACATTTCAGACTAACTGACAAATTAATCTTTTGAATTTCAGGAAACTGTTCACTACCGTATGGGCTCTGAACAAGATTTGGTTTCCTTCAGCATTTATTAGCATATTTTGATTGCATGTAGTAGAGCTCATGCAAAAAATGAAAGTGATTATCTTTAATTTTGATGAGAGCAACTAGAAGATATCCAATAATCTTTTATTTGCTTCATATCAGCTAAAAGGATCCAGTGGGAGATCAAAAAAAAAAAAAAGGTATATACACACATATTACAGACTGGGTCCCTGAAACTTTATCAAAGCATAATACTTAAACACTTTTTTCACCCTGAATACTTAAACACTCTTAAAAGAACCACGTGTGAAACTCTAGATCTGCTTAAACTGATATGTTTGACATTCATTTCAGTATAAATAGGATTTCATTTTATACAAATAGTGTATTTCACTAGTCAAGAATTAATTGTAAGAGACAGAAACAGAAACAAACTGCAGTTTAAGTTATCACAAGCAAAGATTTTATACATCCTGCATAGCAGAAGGTATAGCCATTTTTTACAATTGTCCAATATTTGCTGTTCATTTTTAATTTATTACTTTATTCAGAATCTACAATCTGTAGTAAGTAATCTATGTGAAAGGAACACGAGTGATATGAAAAGTAAAGGCAAAAGGAACAAAAAAATTACTTTTCTGTTTCCAGCTGAATTTTTTCTGCCAGAGTCCTTGCATTTTTACATTCTTGTTTCAATTCTTCTATTTTTGCCTTCAGCTTCTGACTAGACTCCAGGAAATCATTTTCTGATTGAGAAAGTGAGGCAATCTGGAGTTGCATGTCATGAATTTGCTACAAAGAAAGGAAATTTTTCCATTTGAGAAGCTATGCAAATAACTAACAATTAATTTTGAGATACTGAGATAGAGCAAAATGCAGACACTAACTGGCTGCATTAACTTTTCATAAGCCTTTCTTATTTGTTCTTTTTCTCCTTATTCCAAAAGCTTTACAGTAAATCACTACTAGATAAAGAAGGTTTTCTACTGTAGTTAAAATGAGAAGGAGAAAGGGAGGCAGGAGCCTTCAGTCATTGATGTGTCCTCCAGAACTTAAGAAATCCAACATTAGGTCCCAGAGCTGAACAGAACTAGAGCACCACACATTTAGTAGCTGAGCTGTGGAGCTACCCACATACTCTCATAATGTGGTACGGCCCACAGTTGCTGTACCAACCAGTTCACAAAACCAACTAAAGGATAGAGTCTGAAAAGTCCAACCAAACCACATGCACACTCAGATACCCCAATTTCTCATTTCAGGAGGAAAAAAGAATATTGCCTTGAACTTCAAGTGCACATAGCTTGCAGACTACTTTGATGCACAGCTATGTTCTTACCTACTAAATAACATGATGGGCAAGCAGGAGTTAAAAGAATTAGGTTTTATTTTCAACATTACCATCAATTCACTCTGCAATAGAAATATACCTCTTTACACTAGTTTATTCATTTATGAAACAGCTGTTGAGCTCTTGAAGAACCTCCAATGAGAGATGCAGTGTGAACGCAAAGCATTACCTAGAAACAATTTATAAGTCTCCATGGAAACTGAATCTCCAGTTAAATACCGCATAACTGTATTTAATATACCTGTCTATAAACATTCAGCTTTGAAATCCTTGGTACCCACAAAACACATGAAGCAAAAAGCTGTAATCCATTTATAAAGGTCTACGAAAGCATGACTGATTTCTGAACACTTTGGCTTTTAAATAACTGTTGTACTCATTTTGTCCCTCAGGAAAAAAAGGCCTTAAAAATTCAATGTAATCTTCAAACATTGGACATGGTAACTGCAGGAAAGATTGTATTTCTATATAAAATATTACAATCTGATAAAACCTCACCTGTTTCAGATCAGCACTTTCACGCTTCTTTTCTTCCAACTCCTCTGTCTGAATAGCTTGCTGTTGAATTTTTAATCTAAAATTGCATAAGACATCCTTATTTTTATCTAATTAAGATATAGATGTTAGAAGTTAGGACAAAGCAATTCTGACAAGAGAATATATTGCATAATTTGAAAAGCTGATAAATATTTAACTAAACAATTATTTAAAATATATTTTTATTGATTATTATAATTCCTATAGGAGTGAGAAATACATTGATTTGTGTAAAGAGAAATGGTTTACTCTAATGCTGGGGCTATGCCAGCAGCCAGCATGGACCCAATTTTAACACACATGCGTATTGCAAAATTATATCTTTAAAATGTTAATTAAAAATCATATAATTTTTAGAAGTTTGAATTATTTTTTTTAAAAAACAGCACCTTTTTAATTCAGCCCTTTTTTTACACAATGCAAAAGCTAATTTTGTTTAATTTACCATAACAAACATTTTTCTATATCTACTGTAGAGAAATTAGGGGGGGGGAAGTGAGAAATTTGTGTCAAGGTTAAAAAAGCAACACTACCGCAAACGCTGAAGTTCCTTTTTGCTAGATTCTTCTGCCAACTGTACAACACGTAGTTTCTCTTCATACTGATCCTTTTCAGATTGTCTCCAAGTATCTTGTTCCAGTTTAGTCTTCTCTAGATCAGCTAATCTGTTCTCAAGTTCTAACCTGAGACATTATTCAACACATGGACAAGAATCATGACAAAATGCCAGAAGTGTTTAGTTGCTAAGAATGACATTTTTTAAGGTTATTCAAAACACTCCTCTTTAAGAAGTTGAGCAGTAAATCAACAAACATACTTTTCATCCTGTAAGGCTGCAATTTTTTCAAAACCTTCCTCTTTGGCAGCTTGCACTTTACGAATTAGCTCCCGATCCTTTTCTACTAAAAGCATCTTATGACGTTCAACAGCTGCCTTAAGAATTTCCTGGTCTGACAGCAATCCTGCATCATACATTAAAAAAAAGTTAAAATGTCATTATTGATATCAACCTGAAGAAACCCAGTATTAAAATAGCTTTATAAATTGATAAAAAGGAGCTAAAAAATCACAATTCACATGACAGAATGAAAGAACGAGAAAAAAATCCCAAGAAAAACAGAACCGACATGGCCTTTCTTAGTATAACAGAAGCATTTCAAAAACTTTTGAAGAGTAACCATTACACTGGAATTTCTGTCTATGAGGGTTTATTATTATAACATACAAAAGTAATTAAACAGGTGATATTATTATAGATTTAAACTCTACAGCAATTTCTGCTAAGCAGCTGTGTCTGGATTTAAAAAAAAAAAAGTGTTCCACAATAGCTACGAAAAGGTCAAGCAAGAATTTTTTAAATTTTCTTTTTATGGAAAAGTTTATGGTAAACAGTAACTGCTTACTAGTGAAACCATAGTAACCTGGCTACAACAAGTCTCCTAGTTTAATCCACTCATATTACCAAATGAGGCAATTTTAAAATTATGACTCTACGTGCAGGAACTGAAGATGCAAATTAAAAACTTGTGACCAAAACACCTCTGTTCACTGGCAAATAAGCTAACATGCTATAACAATGACTGCTGGTTATTTGGCTAATTCAGTGATGCAAACTGGATTCCATAGCAACTTCAGGTTAGCTTAAATCTAGTCTGTATTAGCTTCATATGTCATAGGGTCCAACATTTTTAGTTTGCAATATCATATGAGTGCATTGTTGATACAGAAATCAGTTTTTCAGTTGCTCTCAGAGAACTTAATGCAAGTGAACAGAACCAGCTGTTCCAGGAAGATGAAGGTACAATTTTGGGGTTATAGCAAATCGGGGAGGACAGTCCACTTAAAAGCTGTGTCGTGATTTAAATCATCAGCATGTAACTAGTACTAGAAAGCTGTGGCCTTTTCACTCAAGAAGGCTATTTCAGGTTGCCTACAGGCTCAGCTGTACTAGGTAGCTTAGACCACAACCTATTTTCTTCAAAGAACAAGCTAGAAATTGTATTTTGTTTCACATGGCAGCCTTACCCAAGTGTTAACAATTCCACAGACACAGAATCAGAAAGCAAAACCACCACTGAAGTGCTATGGTACGTTAAGGTTTCAAGCAGACTGCAAAATACTCTAGAATTTGGCAAGAATAGAAAATATAATCCTATGAAGTACATGATTTAAAACAGATTATGCTCAAATTGTGTCACAAATGCACTAATTTACATAAATACAAAATTGTTCTGTAGCTGTTCTTCTTAACCTACTAGACCAAGTGAAATAACACAGTTGTTTCAGATACAAAAATGAATTTTCAGATCTCTGACCTAGACCGGAAGTGGAAGGTGAAGGCTGCTGGGGAATGTTTGGAAGAAAAATAATTGTAGTATTCTAACTATAAATTACAAAAGAAATCATTAGGAATTGCACATTTTACCATCCATTTCACTTTGAATCTTGTTTCTTTCTCTTTCTACATCACTCTTTGTTCTTGCTGCCTCCAGTCTGACATTTGTTACTTCCAATTTATGTGCATGTTCAAGTTCTTTCACCTATGAATTAGAAAAAAACCCAAATCAACTAAAATAAATATATGCATTCACAGCTTACTGTAAGTTTTTCATGTGATACTTTGCTAACAAGAAAATCTGCCAAATAATCATCGACAACGCTTATTTTAGACATACCTTAAATATTTTTTCATCCACTGTTTTCCTGAAAGCCAATCCAGAATATCCACTCTTGTAGGTAATTTTTAATGGTGATCATATAGATACTGTAACACTAAAGCTACTGACATAATCTGATTCCCCAAATCATAATCAGTGCTATTGCTGGATTTTATTAATTCAAGTCACACACTGAAGATTATTGAATGAGTTGTCAGTCATCTTGAAATGCAAGTTTTATATATTCTCTGATTAAAAAAAAACAACTAAAGTGCTCAAATACAACATACATTCCAGTAATCAGGCTGTCTGACTACTGGCATGTATTTCATCTTTAACCAGACAGTTATTACAAGCTACAGTGTAGAAAAGTTACTCTTTTAAGAAGCCTTGGTGATATATGCACAGATGTGCAGGACTTCCCGGGAAAACTTGGTTTCTGAGTAAATACTATACATTCTACAAGCTAGCCTCCTAATATTGGGGTAGTTATGACAAGTACTCATTGGAAATATCTTCCCATGACACTGATGCAAATTGTGTAAGACCCTGATAACTTGCTAACTCAAGCATTAGCATGTCGGTTTACATCTACTTCATGTAAAGATCCTGCAGAGTCAAGCTAAAATAAAGTTAATCTTCCTAAGTAAATCAAAACGGTGATATGCAAAACCAGATTATCAGTTGCTTCCCCAAGTAATTTCAATTTTGTAACTGCTTGTAGTCCCCTGACCTCCTGGAGTGCTACACTACTTTCTCAAAAACCCAGGTCTTCATAGTTTTAAAGTGCATTTTAAATCAAATACTTCTTTACAGCTGTGACATACACATCCAATGGCCTCATAAAAGCAGGAGCTTTAAGAACATCAAATCAAAGACAATTACTGCTTGCATGGAAACTTTCTATAGTTTAAGCATTTGTACGCAGTAATTACATGGTCAATGAGAATTAAGTATCTAGAGGAAAGCACTTATAATGAAAATCCATTCACAATGACAAATGTAATTACAACCTGCTAGCATATACAAGTGGCAAAAGGTTAAGAATGACACAGTAGCTTATTAAGTAACTACAGGGTGGATTTGGTTGCTGAAATACTAAATTGAGAACATTTCAGGGCAACTTGCAAAGATTTAAGGTGGCTTTTTTAAGGCACAAAATCCAGAAGACAAATGCATGCACCTGCACTCAGGAATAAATTTGAGCGGGGGCAGAAAGGGGTGGAGGTTCGTACAGAAATTAGTTTCTACTTTCCTCCCTTCAAGAAACACCACTGAACATTTTACTTTTTTCCTGCATCTGAAGGTGAGCAGAGAACACCAGCTGATATAAAAAGTAAAGACTGTAACAATCTTCTATACTTTCTGACAGACAATTGAAGAAAAATGTTTAACAGAAGTCTTGCTCTCCTATTTATTATTCATGTGAGATGAGTATGACATACAAGGGGCTTTAAATATTGATATAGGTATATTCTATTCTTACAGTAAATTAGAACTTTTTTTGGATTAAGGACCAAAATTAAATAGTTCACACTGATAAATGTGAACTGTAAAGCCTGTTTTGAATGAAATCTGAGATTTAAGAACAACTATGTTAGAAGTTAAAGTTTTCTTCCTGTATCATATCTTTCTTGAGGCATATTATGACAATATTAACTGCCATACCCATACAAAGGGCATGTCAGTGTTACTCTGGAAAGTATACTCAGAAATGCAGGATGGCTTTAAGACAACAGAGAGCTTAAAATAATTCTGCATTCAAGTAGATATACAAGACTAAAGTTACTGTCTTTACAGTTAGTTCAGAACTAACGAAAGCCTCTTCAGAAAGGCAAGAAAACACCAGGGATTAAATTTACTACCAGGAACTGACAGATGTGATAAGAATTTATTACCCAGTATTCTCTCCAGAAAGGAAGTAATAAGAAACAGCAGAAAGCTAATATTTACCCAAGTAACTACTGCATTATGACTAGTATCCTGACTCAAATACATAAAGCAATGTAACCATTCTGCAACATTTGAAGGTAAACCAGTTTACCAGTGTTTCAATTTTATTGTTTATTCAAATAATCACATATGAAATTGCATAAAGGATCTGTCTCTTTTAAATTGTGTAGCTGAGGAGTCACTGCAACCAGATGAAACTCTGAATCTGGCATCCATACTAATCTAATTATGCTGAAATACTAATGACGTCAAGTTTCTTAAGCATTTTCAGGTTTTCCTGAAACTAGAAACCTGATCTTTTTTTTTTCTTAGCTATTTTTCTAGAAATTTCTCCAACATCTTCAGAAGAAGAAAAAAAAAAATCATACAAACATAGAACAAAGCCTCTGAGAGATGGTGCCAAGCCAACAACTAAGATACTCAAACATCTTGCAAGACAATAATCTACTTAAAATGATATGATGCAGTGCTGTACAGAAATGTTTCTGTACAAGCTATGCTGGCATAAGCCCAAGAAGAACGCTCTGCTTATGTGACTATCCTGCTTCTAATATAACTTAAATCTCTGCAGGTGATTCCAATGCAGCTTGCTTCCTGTAGCCAACACAGATCTCCATTTAAAAAAAAAAAATCAATTTAAAGCTCTATTGTACTTTATACACTTTATGAAAAAATAATGCTTGTTTCCAACAAATAAGGCTGTCTGTTTTCAAGAGTACTGAAAACATGCCTATAAAGACACCTCTGCGAGCCCTGTCCTGTTTAGAAAAAAGATCTAGAAAATTAAATAAAAAGAGCATAACCTCAGTCTTTACAGGAAAACTGCCATCCCTGTAAGTATCTCTAAAGTCACATATTTGATATCTTCCAACTGAAATTGTGAAAAAAAAATCAAAACCTATTTCAAGTCACAGTAGAAGACAGTTACTTTATTCTTCATGTAAAATACAATCAGAAAAACTTAAACATAACAGGATATGAAAAAAATATTTCAGATACCATAAAAGTACTTACTTTAGCAGCTAAGGAATTGACTTCTCGTTCAGATTTGTGAAGTTTACTAGTTAAGAGAATGTTTTGCTCCTGACTCATCTGCAGTTCTTTTTCAATTTTATCAATCCGTAGTTCAGCAGACTTCTTTTCTGCCTTGAATAAAGGAGGCATTTGTAAGACTTTTGGAGCAGGGCTGTCTCTTGCTATCCACTTGAAAGGTTCAATTGATCTGGGCTTTCAGATATTACTGACCCTTTATATTATATAATAAGGTAATATATAAGTATTTATCTTCTGCTCAACAATATGTTCAAATACAAGGGTCTTCAATTTTATTCGAAAGCTACAACTGTTTTTACTAACATTGCCTGCACAGAATCACACACATTTTCAATCCTACTTCACAAGAGGCAGAGGTAATCCGACTTGGTTAGGAGGCAGCAGGTATTCCTACCAGTAAATTACTGGGCTGTAGACACCAGTATGACTGTAAGTGATGCTCAAAAAGATGTCATATGTTGGCCTATGCAGTAATACTAACTGAAGAACTATCATGGAGAGGAAATAAAGTGCAATTACTGTATTACAGACTCAAGACCCTGAGCTTCACTAAGTATCAAAAAGGTAATCTAACCTATGATTTCACCTTCCTTTTTCTGAACTGACCAATTTCCAGCAGGACTTTCTTGTAAGTTTTCTAAACTAAGGATATTACAGGACTTTTAAGTTGTGATCAGAACATTTTGTAACAAAGGTATACAGCCCTGATAACAGTAAAAAAGAAAACGAACCATCTATCTGTGTGCTGCAACTGTGCAAGAAATCTACACGGAAATACTCCCTACCTAGAGAGGTAGCAAGAACTGAAACAGGACTGAAGACCACAGGTGAGGAATACAGTAGAACTCTGGGAAACATACAACAGGCCAGAAATAACAAAGGTTCTTTAAGGGAGAGCAACAGCCAAGAACTAAACAATTGCAGTAACGTGTTGGAGAAAGGAGAGACAAAGGGAGGCAAGAAAGACGACAACACACAAGGAAAGAATTAAAGAAATACGGGAGAATCATATGACATTTTTGAAAAGAATACAAAAATTTACTGTAGTAATTATTAATTATTGTCATCAGTTTCAAACTCCAGCCAAGTGAGCACCTTACTGACTACAAACATGGATATCACTTGCATGTTTAGAAGGAAGGAAGATCATTCAACAGAATCTCTCAGTTGAGCTCTCCACCTTCCCAAAGTTGAATTGGCAGTACATGACTCCCAATGTACTTACAATTCATTTTTAAATCTGAAATGTACAAATTCAAACTGTAGAGTCAATGGCAAAATTTTCAGTGACTTCAGTGACAGTCCTATCAAGCCAAGCATTATTCTCACTACACTCTACAAGGAGGCAAAATTTAAAAAAAAAATAAAAAAAATCTTACCTCTAGACACCTTGTCATAGCCTGCATCTCTGCTAACTGTCGTACTTGTACTCTTTGAACATTTTCTGCTTGCACAACACAATTGTCCCTTTCTGCTCTTAGTTCTGCTGCTTCTGCTTCTAAGCCTTTTAATTTCTGATACAGTTGTGCCTTTTCTCTAGAGAGTGTCTCCACACGTTTACTGTCCCTCGTGGGATCAACACTAAGCAGCTGATCACGGAGTTCTTCTTTATCTTTTTCCAGTCTTGCAATCTGATAGTTGTTAATCAGAAAAATAAAAGCTTTCACAATGGTTAAATGTCAGGCAGCAACAAATATAGCAATTGACAATTCAGGAAAGAGCATCACTGTGCATTTAAAATATTAAGAAATTACATTCACAGTTATTTTCTTTCTTAGAGTAGGAAAATCAACAGACCCACTCCTAAATGCCTTTTTTGCTTGAGTTTTCACTGATAAGGCTTGTACTGGGGCCTCAGATGTCCCTGAGCCCCCTAACAGTCTGGAGGAGTAAAGCAGTACCCAGAGTAGAGAAATAAAATGTGAGGGATCATTTAATCCACTGGACACACACAAGTCCTTGGAATGGATCCAAGTATTTTGAAGGAGCTGGTATCACTGCAAGGCTATTCTCTATCATCTTTGAAAAGTCACTGCAATCAGAGAAGGTCCCTGATCACTGGAAAGAGGCAGACAGCACACCCAGAGCAAAAAAAAAAAAATCAAGAAGGATCCAGATAACTAAAGGACAGTCAGCTTCACATCAGTCTCTGTGAAGGTTATAAAGCAAATCCTCTTAAAAGCCATTTCTAAACACATGAAAGACGAGGTGCTGGAAAGCAGCGTTTACCAAGGGCAAATCATGCCTGACCTACTACTCTGCTTTCTAGAAAGAGGTGACTGGCACTGCAGACAAGGAGAGAGCAGTGGATCGTGTATACCTTGATTTTAACAAGGCCTTTGACGCAGTCTCCCATAATCTTCTCTCTTGCTAAATTAGTGACATATGGGCTGGAAAAGTAGACGATAAAGTGAGTGGAAAACTGGTTGGGCTTGCCAGGCTCAAAGAGTGATGATCAGTGTTGCAAAGCCCAACTGACTACCTGCAATGACTGGGGTCTTTCTGAGATCAGTACATGGTCCAGTACTGATTAATGTCCTTGTTAGTGACTTGGATGATGGGATGGAGTACACTTTCATCAAGTTTTCAGGTAACGCCAAACTGGGGGAAAATGGTCAATGTGGTGGAAAGGAGAACTGCTATTCAGAGGGATCTGGACAGGCTGAAGGAATGGGCTGACTGGAACATCTCCAACAAGAGCAAGTACAAAGCTGCGCATCTGGGATGGAGTAACTCAATGCAACAGCACAGGCTGGGGCAACTGCCTAGGAAGCAGCTCCATGGAAAAGGATCTGGGAGTCCTAGTGGAAAACAAGTTGAACATTAGTAAGCAGAATACCCTTGCAGCAAAGATCACCAACTGCATCCTGGCAGACTGGCAGAATAATGGCTAGTGGATCCAGGGAAGAGATCCTTTGTTGCCTACAAGTACTTGTAAAACTGCATCTGTAGTCTGTGTCCAGTACAGAAAGAATAATGACAGACTGGATCAAGTCCAGTGGAGAGCCAGTAAGACCGTTAGGGGATTGGAGAACATGACATACAAGAACATGCTAAGAGAACTAAGCCTCTTCAGCTTGGAGAAGAGAATGCTCAGGGGAGACTTTATCCCTCTGTATACCTGACAAAAGGATACAGAGAAGACAGATGTCTTCTTGGAGGTGCATGGTGATGGGAAGAGAGGCAACAGACACAAGCTGGAACATGTGAAATTCCAATTAGATACTAGGAAAAAAGTTTACCATGAAGATGGTTCAATACTGGAATAGTTTGTCCAGGAAGGTTGTGAAATCTCCATCCTCACAGATGTTCAAGACTTGACTGGACATGGCCCTGAGCAACCCAATCTCATTACACTTCAATATTTTAAGCAGGATGTTGGACTAGGTCTCTTCTAACCTATATTATGATTCCACAATTCCATAACCACAACAAAACTCAAATCTGCTAGTAACTCAAGACAGCCAACATGATTTGACCCTGTCAGACAGATCATAAAGCAGAAAAAAAAAAATTCTCTCCCAAGGTAGTACAACATGTACAAACTAAACCTGAGACTCTAACAAACATAATTATATAGAGTCTAGTGTTTCAAAATGAGTTACATAGTCTGAATGCAGTACTGGAGACAAAAGAGTGAGAAGGTAAGGTATGTAAGAGTTCTCATATCAAGAGACTAGTCCAAACTCCAATCTACAGCAGTGCTTTTAGAAGTTGCACCAGTGGTGTCTATGGAACAAAGCCAATTTCTGCAGCAAAAGCCCTCCATATCCCTTTTATGAGGACATTTAAACACTTATTGCATGACATGCCCAAGCCATCATTTAAGAATTAGGATGCTTTTGTAGCCTCTTTGTGCTAAATAGCATGGAAGGTTAAGAATGCTCCAAGAAAGAGAAACTAGATCACATTGTGCCCTGAGCTCAAGGTATTTTCATCCTCCGTAAGTGTGCTAATTACCACAAACTCAGCAAGCCCACAAGAGAGGCAAGCTGTAAAGCAGCATGTGGGTTCAGCTCCAGGAAGGACAACTGTTCTGTTTTTAATGTATTGCATTTGCAAATTTGGATTGATTTTGATTGCTTTGATTTATGTCTCATGTTTGGAGTAATACATTCTCATCTGGCATCTTCAGATATATGCTCACAGACAAATACTTAAATGACTACAGAATTTACATATGCAACACTCATCTACAGTGCTGCATGTATTTAAAGCATAAATAAGCTGGCAATTTATTTAGCTACACTGTTGGAAGTCCAATTCTGAAACAGAAAATTCATTCAAGAGTTAATACAACTCAAATAAAGTTACCAAAGTTTTCAGAATCCTTTTGACAACCACCGTCATGATCCAGCTTAGGTGCAAAATGTACCCTTGTATGATTTAAACAATATCTTCTGCTGCCTTCTTCTTGGATTAGTTGCCAGATAAGTAATTTAAAATCTAAACTTACATCAGTTGCTCAGATAACTTATCAATTTCAGATTAGCATAATGTCTCAAATTCCATCACAAATGCTATTAAAAAAAGCATTAAGCAAATATACTGGCTGTCGTTTATCAGAAGGCAAGTCTATTCTTACTTATAATAGCACAAGTCATGTTGCGACACATAACTGAACAAACCTACAGAGACAGCTTTAGGCTAAGTCATAAAACTGTGTTGAGAACTAAGAGAACGGAAACAAACACTACATTACGAAATGGTGTCAAACTGACAACCCATCAAGTACCAACATTTTCACCAGCTTTGTCATCAGATACATTTTAAGCTACTGTAAAATTCTATGTACCTCAGCATCATATTTTATTTTCTTCTCTTCCAAAATGCGTGTGTGTGCTTCCTTTTGATGTTCAAATTCTGATTTGAGAAAAGTATGTTCATAACGAAGTTTGTTATATTCTGCTCTGTATTTTTCCACTTCCTAAGTAGGACAAAAAAAAACACAAAAAACACCAGAGAAATTTTCATATTTATTTCCTTCAAATGTCCATGCAATGTTCCTATCATTTCACAGGTTATGTTTGATAAACAGAATCCCTCCTCCCTCTTCTAGGGTTTCAACCTTCACTGCCTGGGGCAACAGTACTGGACAGTGACAGACATAGAATGTCATACTTTGCTCCCCTTTCAGTTTTAATTTCATAAGGTTTTAGGAACAACTATAAACTGGTGATCACTACTCTAAATGAAATAGAATTTCAATACTTACTACTTACATTTTCTAGCTTCCGGTAACGTTCTTTTTTTTTCTGCTGTATTTGTGCTTTTAACAGCTCTAACTTTTGAGGAGTTAGCACCTTGAGACAGAGAGGTATCATAAATAGTCATATTCATTTATTTACACTGTGATAGGACAAATAGTCAGGAAAAAAGTATTTCAAATATGATTTTAGGAATCCTGCTTGATTGTCTATGTTTCTCTAAAGAATTTTCAATAGTAGTTATGGAAGCAAAAAGTCATGATATTAGTGAACAACAAATATTCTGCGAATATAACAGAAACATGTAAAATGTCAGTATTTACTAGCAGAAGCAATACAAATCTCAAGCTGAATTACCAAGAGATTTATTTCCTTTGTGGAGCAGAGAAGGAAGGAAAAGTGGTCTTACATAAAACATGAAGAATTAGCATTTGGAAAAAACTTAAAACACTAATGAACCCGCTCCAAAGAATCAAAATGAGCAATACCAAACCAATTCTTTGTAAAACATGTTAGATACAGGTTCTCCAACAGATACATGGGTACTGGTTTGAATTAAAGAAAGGAAAGATTCCCTGCCTTAAGCTCCATGCTGCATGGTACTTTGTTAAGTCTTCTTGTGTACGATTAATACGGCAAACTATCTAGCAAGAAAAAGTATTAGAAAAAATTTCATACACAACCTGTGACATATTCTAATTTATTCTATTTTTCTGTACCCTAAAGTCTCTGAAAACTAATTCTAGTTATGGTACTGAGGCACATCTTCTCCATTCAGAGTCTGAGGTCCTTTGTTAGATGCTACATTTGTTTCCTGAGGACTATGTCCTGCATTAGTTTAAGGAAACAAGTAGTTATAGAAAATGTCATTCAAGTTATCTAAAAGTTGGGGTTTTTTGTTTGGTTTTGCGTTTGCCTTTTTTTTTTTTTTTTTCAGATTAAGAAAGTTGTCATCATGAAGAGAAACAAATATCTATTTTTTCCAGTCACTTATCCTAACAGGTTTAGGCATCTAAAGTATCCTCCAGGGCAGATGATTCTCCCCACAGCAGGAGAGCATGCACAGACACTGAGGGTCTTACTATTAACATAGCACAGGATTTGGAAAAATCGGTTAAACAACAAAACAATAATTTCAACCCATAGTCACTCTAGAGAACAAACATTACTCAGGCTGGGTGAATTTCAAGATACGTGAAATATATGCAAGCTAGGTATATACATCCTACATAAACAGAAATATATGCATGGCCCTGTTACAGGATTAAAGCTCATATTAAGTCCCACCAGTAAATTATCTCACCTGCTTCTTCAGTTTTTCCAGCTCTTGTGTTTTACCCAGCAACTCCTCTTGACATTCAGCAAGAAAAGACTGAAATTTGTCACATACAGTCTGCTTTTCAACTAACAACCGCTTCCGTTCATCTTCTGATTTTGTATGTTCCTCCTGTAATCTGCAAGATAAAATACTCATTTTATATTTACCCTCTAAAATTAGATCTTAAAACTCAAAAACAACTCATGTGCAGAAGCAAAAATACAAATACCAAGTTAGAACTAAGCTATTAAAATCCTCATCCTGTAATATACTGAAAAAGTTATCCCATATTTACAAGCATAAAAAGTATTGCAGAAACATAATCTGCAATGACTCAAGGTATTTTGGATTGTTTATTTTCTAATATGAATAATGCTCAAATCTGTCCTTAAACACAAAAACAGCTAACACAGACAAATCCCTTCCACCTAACATTTAGCTTCATCTTTTAACAGCTCAAATGAAGAAACCTGTTAAAATTAGTGTACCTTAGATGTTCTGCTCTTAGAGTTTGATAATTTGCTTTATGGTATTCACATCGCATTTTTTCATCAATCAGAAGTTTTTGTAAATCTTGTGAATTAGCTGTAGCATTTCCAACCACAGGAGGAAGGAGACTGCCCGGAGCATCCATTTTATGATGACTGTTCACGATGAGCATGGAGAGGACAAAATAAAAATTAACCTGTAACTAATCTACAACACCATCCACTTTTTCTGCTTACATCCCAGAAGATAAAGTCACCTGAATAAATACAAGGACATGTAATTAGCAATCAAGTACATTCACAGTTCAAAAATTTCACATGCTGCTTTTGCTTTCAGTCCAGAAGAATCCTGGCTCTGCTGTGACTCAGGTTAGGAACTGTACTGAAAGGGCAACTCTCCTCTGCTCATTCTGCCTGCCCTGAAAAGTAATAGCCCTTCCAGGGGCACAGAAGAAACTTAAACATGGAAATTATTTGAGTCAATATGAAATAAGCACAAGCACTTCTATCTGAAGATTACATGAAATGTTATTTTTACTTATGCTATACACTGAGAATCAAACTCTGATGCTAGGAATCCCCTAATTATGCCTTAAGCAGACAATTCTCACTGTTGAATTGCTATCAAGCCTTCTCTGGAGAAGGTTACTTCTCTGGAGTTAAGGTTTCATGGCCAGATACCCACCCGAAGTTCAACCTTGAAACATATCATTGATGTATGTCACTTACTCATTTTCAAAGTTTTTTCTGCTGTTCGCTTGTGACCTTTCCAGAAAGAGTTTTGCTAAATGTAACAATATCAGATTGATGTGAGAAAGCTGCAAATCGGCAGATGCTGAGAAATGAGGAAGTATTCTAATGTGCTTCATCAGTTCTTTCCAATATTAGAAGCAAGATGTATTAATCTGATCATTGCTGACATTTCTAAAGGATCTGGGGGAGGGAGGACAGTAACTGAATTTTAGGGAAGTTACAAAGCTTTGAAACCAACTACTCTGCCATTTTAGCTTTTCACATAACTGGACCGATGTCTAAGAACTCCATGGTTGCAGTGTACAAAGTGTAATTCTAAGCTTCAAAGTGTAACTTTGTACAAACTAAAATTCAAACAGGAAAAATGTTAAATCTCCACCATCACTGCAAATACCTCATCTTCTCTACATATACAGTTGAATATATAAAGTTTTCTACCATTGCAATCTTTCAGTCTTTCATGGACCTATTTTAAACACTTACCCTTTGATTTATAAACCCATGAACTATAAGCAAGACCAGAACTTATCTTCCATATAGGAAAATAAAGGTTGCATGTCAGTGCCCATTCCACTAAAAGATATAATAATGTCAAGAAAGTGTTGCATTTAAGTTTTCTTCCCCATGTTTCCTCCCTCCATCACTAAGATGGGAAGAGGTCAGAGGAAAATCTACTAGAATTACAACACTAGTACAGGCAAAGCAACAACAGCAATTCTGTATTCTGCTTTACCCATATTTGCTGAGAGGATAAGGGGGAAGAAATCAGAGTAAAGAACATTCTTCTCAGTGACTGTCCTATATGCACAACCCATTTCAAACACAAGTTCTGAAGAACCTTCTAATCAATACAGTATCTATTTTTCATTCCTGAATTTTGTTGGTTGTTGAGAAACAAACGACAACAGCAATTTCCAAACTCAATATAAATAAATTTTCAGTTGTTAAATCAACAGCTGTATGAGAAGAACTGTTCAGTGATCCTAAAGACAATAAACCATATAAGAGGACAGAAAGTTCTGTTACACAGAGAAAACCCAAGGCAGCACATCTCTACGAATTTCTGAGCAGCCCAACAGGGTTCTCATGATCACTGTAAAACAAACAAACAACCCCAAAACAAAATAAAACAACAAAAAAAACCCCACCAGGCAATACGGCTTTTCTCTGTCTCAGATCTTTGCTTTCATAAGCTACAAATACCAAATGTAACTATCAAACCGTAAGCCAAAACTCAGAATTAAGAACACAGGATTTAAAGTCGTGTCTGAATCCTGCAGATTACTTTAGTAAGAAGTACTTCTGAAGTGGCGTAACAGATACAAAGTCAAAGACACCACAAAACCATGGCATTTTCTGAGTGCATATCAAGCAAAAGAAAAAGATAAATGGAACTGCAACCTTTTGTACTCTCAATTCCAAGCTGCTGCAGGTGGAAAATATATTGTCCCTTCACAGCTTTTGCTACTATCAAAAAGTGCACAAATCGTAAAGCAAGACACACACCCGGCCATGCATTTATATGCATGAAGATTTCATTAAAAAGAAAGAAGAACAGAAGGAAAAAAAATGTAACTTACAAAACAATTGTTTCAGACCAAAAACCTAACCACTACGTAGTTAAGGAAACAAAACTATTTTGGCTTGCAGGGACATCTAGTGGCAAATTTCATGATTTGCATTCCTGGTGACAATTGCAAAACAAACAATAACATAGAGATTTCATTACTTCACGAGAGCTCTTTCCTTGAAATCATTAATAACAACTTGTAATATTTAACTTATCATATTCTCACAAATAAAAACCTTTTTTTCCCCACCAAATAATAAAATTCCTGGCAGTGAACTGTCAACAGTCAACATTGTTTAGGGCTACAAATATTTTAAGTACAATACTAACAAGAATTTCTTCTGCTTACAGTACTCGCTCATATTCAATGAACAGGCCTTAAATAATCTTCAAAATTACACAAGACTACACCTATAATTTCTGATAAATACTTTAAAGGAAGTGTAGTTAAAATTTCTTCCTCTCTTGGAGATTTTTTCAAGAAGTAGAGAACCATAAAACATACTTTAAAGAAACTAAAACCACATCATATCCATAATTAACTCTCCACCTATATATTTTCCAAATTTTATCACATTACAGGACTGCAAACTTGTACTAGTTCCCCCAAATTCATACTCTGAAATCTTAACATAATTTTGTGCAGGTGCACATAAAAAGGTATTGGTGCAGAGTCCTGAAACCTAGGAAAAGCACACTCAGTAGCTAATATAGCAATATTTATTGTAGGATATATAGCTAAGTGAAATAACTCAATCACATTTCCAAGAATCACCTTTGTTTTGCCTTTCTTCTCTGATTGTTTATTTTCATACAGAGAGAACAATTGCTTAAAGACCTACTTCACATCTCCCCTTTAGATCTACAGATTGTGAAACGGCTTTTCTTCTTTTACAAGATTTTTCAGCTATATTATTCTAACTTTTTATTTGCTACAAACACTTAAAATGGGGGGAATTCTTGTATTTAGAGAAATATGTGAAGATATCAATACAATTATATTTATTTATATCATAATTTTTATTTTTTTATTTTCATTTTATGCTGTTTACAATAACAAGGCTTCATTCTAGCTTACCTGGCATAACCAAATGCATTACCATGCATTATTTCAGCATGTATTGGTAATTCACATGGGTGACATACATAACCCACTCACAGCTCTGCTTTCCATACCACAGCCACACTTAATGCTTAACATATATTTATCATATTTGAACAGTGTTTTAAACAGTTAAATGACACAATGAATGTAATTTTGCAATTACTGATGAAAAACTTAACAGTATTTAGCCTTGTGCCATGTTTTGTTCAAGTACTAAAATTCTCAGTAAAATCTGTTGAAAGCCAAAACAGCTGTTTCACACGTATGGTTTAACCCATTGCCTGCTTCTGTTAGAACTCTAAATCTCTTTACATGCTTGCTTTTTTTTTTTTTTTTTCCCCTAATTGAATCAGCCAAGGTCTCATGAAATAATACAACTATTTGCCTGAAAGAATAAGCGAGACACTCCCAGGAAGCACAGCCTCATGAAAGTGACTCTTCAAGCACCACCCCTCCTCATCCTTTCTTAAGAGTGTACAGTAAGACTAGATAATGAACTGCTAAAAAAGTGTAATCCAATACAAGAGCTCACTGTCACCAGGAATGGATGGTTCCACTCCTCCTTTCTTCATCCCCATTCCTAGATCTATCATTCCTCAGACCCTTCCATGAACTGATTTAACTCAAGAAGCCAACACACTTAAACAAGCAGAAAACACTCCATTATATTTCTGTGAGGTCAGCAAGTCACGCTAGGTCAGAGAAAAATACAACAAGCTACATCATCAGTGAAAGTAGGCAGCTAATACTGGCTATCAGAAAGGAACACAGAGCCAAGTAAATAGGCAGGAGGAGGGGCAAGGCTTTCTCCCTTCAGGAGCAGAGATTTGTCACATCGGGAGCTCTGATGTTAACAAAATCACAGCCTTGGACTAGCTACCTAGCTTTTAGATAGTCAAAGTTAAGTAAAACAAATACTACCTTAAATGATCATGCAACACATTCTCAAGAGACCACAATTCCTATGAACATAAGTGACTAAAAACCAAAACAAAACCATGTATAATTTGAGAAGCATGACAGCATACTGAGAAACATGACAGCATACCTCTCATTACTTTAACAGTCCGCATTCTACTAATCACTAAATTGCCATAGTCAAAGTAATCATCTTTAAAATATAGATAGATATAAGGTGTGGGGGCAAATCAGAGGGAAACATTAAAATCTTTATTATAGGACATTCCATAGTCTAGATACTGCTCAGATATCATTGTAGAGAATCCTATGAAAACAAACACTTAATACCTTGGCATGACTAAGTGCAGAAATTTTGGAGAACATCTGTATGAATTCTATATTACAGAAGACATCAATATAATTTAAACTCCCATCAGTTCTTTCACAACATTGATCAAAGTACAAATTCCAACAACAATTAAGCATATATTATTTCAGGGTCCATCCCTACATATGGCACACAGCATCACCTTTTTCATTTCTGCCTTATACTAGAGATAAAACAGAATCTTTTACTAGATGAACAACAACAAACAAGGTGCTATCTTAACTCAGGATTAAAATTTTTGCTTCAGCCACAAACACTAGCAAGCCAAACTGACAGCAGTTACTGATCAAACTGAAATTTTGCATGGGAGCTACCACTGGTAAAGCTAGCTGTACTCAAGAACAGCTAGTCTACATATGCCATATAACTTTTCCAATGTTTTTTCATTACAAGAGACCTTCGGACACACATGAGAAACTCTTGCTTACTA